GTGTGGTCCAAGCATCAGCAAGCCCCTGGAGCAGCCCGATTGTACTAGTGCGCAAGAAAAACGGAGAAACGAGATTCTGCATCGACTTTAGAGAACTCAACAAAATAACTAAACGGGACAATTACCCATTGCCGAGGATCGACGACGCTCTCGATTGTTTGTCCGGCGCCAACTATTTCTCGACGCTCGATTTAAAGTCTGGTTACTTTCAGTGCCCGCTCGAGGAGAGGGACAGAGAAAAGACGGCATTTGCAACCCCGGACGGACTCTTCGAATTCAAAGTTCTACCCTTCGGGCTGTCAAACGGGCCAGCAACGTTCGAGAGACTGATGGACAACGTCCTCCGCGGTCACAAATGGAGAAACTGCCTCGTATACCTTGACGACCTTTGTATTTTCGGCAGGACCCTGAACGAGCACAACAGCCGACTAGAACAGATCCTGAGATGCCTAGATCGAGCAAACTTATCGCTCAACATCAAGAAATGTTCGTTTGGTGCAAGAAAGATCTCGCTACTCGGCCATCAAGTATCCAGCAGAGGTATCCTCCCGGATCCCGCAAAAACCAGCGCAATAAAGTCAATCCCGACACCGAAAAACCAGAAAGCGGTGAAGAGCTTCCTTGGCCTATGCTCATATTACCGCAAGTTCATGGAAAATTTTTCGAAAATAGCAGCTCCTCTGAATAATCTTCTAAAAGACGGAGTGAAGTTTCATTGGGAGTCGGATCATCAGCAAGCGTTCGAAACTCTGAAGGAGAAGTTGGTGAGCCCACCACTTCTAGGACATTTCGATCCCAAAAGACCAGCGATCCTCCGCACGGACGCCTGCAAGTATGGGATCGGAGCGATCTTGGCGCAGGTCGACGACACTGGCACTGAACGGGTTATCGCCTACGCAAGCCGGACACTCTCAGGGTCAGAATCTCGATACTCAACAACAGATCAGGAAAGTCTCGCAGTCGTTTGGGCGGTAAGAAAATTCCATCCCTACGTTCATGGCAGACCCGTGACAGTCATCAGCGATCACCACGCACTCTGTTGGCTGATGACGGCGAAAAACTTGAGAGGCCGGCTGGCGAGATGCGCTCTGCAACTCCAAGAATACGATATCACCGTAGTGTACAAGCAAGGGCGAAAGCACCTGGACGCAGACTGTTTATCCCGCTACCCGGAGTCGGACCCCGCCGCAGAAAAACGCGAGAGAGAAGAGGATCCTGCACAAAACGAAGCGGAAGCCACGGCACAAATCAGCTCAATCTCACTCGAATCGATGGCTCAAGCACAAGAGGACGATCCTTCATTAGACAGACTGAGAGAACTTGCAGGAAGATCTAGCACCTTCGAAAAAGTTTCGGGGATCCTATACAAGAGAAATTTCTCACGCTCCGGCGAAAACCTCTTATTGGTAGTACCGAAATCCATGAGGAAGAACGCTTTAGAAGCATCGCATTCTACTAAGGAGGCGGGACACCTAGGGATCGCAAAGACATATTGGCTTTCTTGGCGAACTTCGGTTATCGCGGTTCTACAGAGTATTCCTAATGCACTCAAGGCTGCGAAGGGAGAATTGCCCTTAAATGGCCCTCATTTTGAGGCCGCAAACGCGTCGGCCAAAGCCAATATTCTCAATACGATTTCCCAAACTCTTGTATCTGCCTATCTCAGCATCGATGCGGAAGCGGAGACTGGTAATGATATCTGGAAAAAGCTGGGAAGCCTCTACGGTGGCGAAGATACCACCTCTCAGGGAGCAGCTCAATTGAAATATAATCGATTCAGATATATGTAATACCTCCAAAACGGTTGCGCAGAATATACATGCCTTCCAGGAGGTCATGGCTCAAATGACTATGTCAGGCGTAGTGGTCTCAGAGGCCGTAGCCTGTCAGAAGCTCTTGGGTCTTCTCCCACCTTCATGGGAATCCTTACGTTTGTTCTGGTCTGTTAAAAGTGTGGACGAGCAGACTCTACCCAAACTTTATCAATTAATTCAAAGTCAGGAAACTCAGCGAATCACCGCTGCTGCCGCTAATGGCAATTCTGATCCCTCTGCAATGTTCTCTAAGCTCTCGATTCGTAATAATCGATTCCGTCAGAATAACCGTAATTTCGATCGTAACCCTAACCGGCGATCGAATGGCAATCGCAGCAGTTTTAATTCTACACCTAATTATCCGCAGACGAACTTTCGTCACAATAATCGCAATAATTTCAATCGTAATGATAATGGCAGTAATAATCAACAGGATTCGTCTCAGAATTCTGGCCCTTCTCGCCCTTCTGGCCGACCCACTTCTTATAACCAATCGCGTTCAAGCAATTCCAATTCGAATGGCAGACCTCAGGGGATCCGCTCTCGACCACGCCCTCGCCGTCCGTTTCGTGCTTCCGCTCATGTCGCCCAGTTGGATGACTTCAACAGCGATGTTGAAGTGTTCACTGCAACTCTTGACGAGGTCTCAACTGACCCGCCACTAAGACCGACCTTCATCTGAGCCGGGAACTAGCTACTCTGCGGGTTCCGATAAATGATGGTCTTTTCGCCCTCCGAGCGAGACCCGTGAAAGTTCCCACAAATGCCGAATGCTTGTTCTCCTCATCACGGCCTCTACCTCTGCAAAAAGCTCATGAGATGCTTGGCCACATAAATAAGCGCCAAGTTAGGCAGTTCGTGTCTCGAGAGGGAGTCCCGATCAGGGACGACCTGATCACCTGCACAGCCTGTATTCAAGGAAAAATGAACAGGTCGGGCTATCGCTCTGAGCCGACCTCTTCAGCACCACAGTCCCTGGGTTATGTGGCTACTGACCTTTGCAGTCCTATGCAGGCCACTGATCTTGAGGGAGCCAAATACTTTATGAACATCCATGATCAATTCTCTAAATTCAATCGAATTTATCTCCTCAAATCGAAAGACCAAGCATCGGATCTTATCTAGCAATACATTGTCTGGTTCCGCAATCAGACAGGCTCGGACATCAACCAAATGTTGGTCGACCGTGGATTGGAATTTAAAAATTCAAGGGTAAAGGATGCCCTTCCCGCGATCGGTGCCGAACTCATTATGTCAAATCCGTATAGCCATCAGCAAAACGGAAGAGCGGAACGCAATAATCAGACATTTACCAAATTAGCCCGTACTCTTCTCATAAGTTCGCAAGTTCCTAAATTTCTCTGGGGAGAGGCGTGCCGCTGCGCGGTATACCTCCTCAACATTGTAAATAGTTGTCCGAAAGCTAACAAATCCGCTTATGAGATGATCTACAAAGAAAAGCCTAAGATTTCTCATCTACGTCCATTTGGCTCTCGGTGCTATTTCTACAATACTGATGTACACCGGGAAAGATTCGACGAGGTCGCTCAAGAGGGAATCATGCTTGGCTACTCTCATAGAATCGATGGCTACCGCATTTATAAACCAGGTTACCGGAAAATAATTCCGACGAAAGACGTCGTCTTTGGGGGTTCGGCATTCTCATGCCCAGCGCTAAGTCCAGGTCCGGGAACGACCGATGTGGCCACAGCTAATACGGACGCGCTTTCTGCCGGCTGCTCCGGCAATCACGCTGTAGAGTCTTGTCCTTCTGACGAGGAGGACTCTGGATGGCTGGAGCTTCCATGCCCAGCAATTTCCCAGACTGTGCCTGGAGCTCTTCCTGATGTTCCGGTTCAGGTCCCGGTAAACACAGATGAACGCTCGGCACCTCCCCCTCTGGAGCCGATGATTTTCAGACGACGCGAAACTCTTCGTAGACCGAGTCGCTATGAATCTAATGTAGTTCAAAGCGCATCCTCCTTTCCACAAGAGCCAAAAACTCTCGCCCAAGCCCTCGCCAGTCCCGAGGCAGAGCACTGGAAGGAAATTGGAAATTGCTTCTATGAAGGCGCACGGAGTCTGGACACTGGTAGACCTCCCGCCTGGTAAGCGTCCGATATCCTGCAGATGGGTCTTCAAAATTAAAACCAATGCGTCGACCGCTACAGAGCGCGTCTCGTTGTCCGCGGATTTAAACAAATAGAGGGGATAGACTATCAAGAGCTATTTGCCCCGGTTGCCCGCGTTGACACCGCCGCACACTTCTTGCCATCTGCGCCTCGAAACGCCTTAATTTACGGCAATCCGACATTACTACAGCCTTCCTTTATGGCAACCTGGACGAAGAATTGTATAGTGTGTCCCAAGCTCCTGGATTCGATGATGGATCAGGAAGGGTATGCCTCTTGCAAAAATCATTATACGGTTTGAAGCAAGCTCCTCGTTGCTTTAATCGCAAGCTTGCCGGTGTGCTCTGCGAGCTGGGCTTCACTCAGAGCCAAGCAGACCATTGCCTCCATATTTGGCACGGCCCGCAGAGTGAGCTAATTCTGCTTGCCATCTTTGTCGATGATGGACTGATTGCCTCGACACATGAACGTCTCATCAAGCCCACTCTCGACAACCTTGGTCAACATTTCAAACTTAAAGCATCTTCTCTTATGAATCTATTCTTAGGGATGCATATCCATGTTGACGAAAATCATAATATTTGGCTTAATCAATATAAATACATTCAAAGTCTCCTGAAGCGCTTTAATATGACTGATAGCCGCCCTCATTTAATTCCCTCTGATAGCGGTATCTATAATTAAAGCCTGGGAGTTAGGCGGATTGCATATTTTCGCTTATAATGCTTTTCTCCGCCCAGAAAGCCTATTTTCGCCTGAAATGCCTTTCTTCGCCTAACATGCCTATTTCCGCCTAACATGCCCATTTCCGCCTAACATGCCTATTTCCGCCAGACCTGCCTTTAGCGCCGAGTCTCCCGAGAGTATGATCGTTGTCTATCAGATTTGAATACTTCGCGCTCATTTGGGAGATGACTCGCTCCTCGCTCTGTATCACCACGCGAACTTCGTTATTCGGAAACGTATTGGGTGTGTTCGAAATTTCGAAGTGATCTCGGAGGACTACTAGACTCAAAAATTTCTCTCTCCACGTCCCGAACAAAACTGACTAAAAATGCCCCGACAAGGAATCGACACGGCGGAAAAACTCCGACTCTATGTGGAAGAGTTCGGCCCTGATGTCTTTAGCACGAACGGGGAAAGTCTCACGTGCGACGTTTGTCGCAAATCTGTGAAGGCTACGAAAAAGTACTTCCTGCAACAGCACGTGCGAGGTTCCAGACACTTGGCTCGTCTGAATTCCAGGGACCTGCACAGCCTTCCTCCACAAGCATCGCAACAACAGTTGGTGCAACTTTCTCCGCGAGAAAATCCCTTCAATATGGATGTGTGTCGGATGTTTGTGGAATCGAATATTCCTCTCTACAAAGTTCAGCATCCTTCTTTCCGGGGCTTCATGGAGAAGTACTGCGGAAAAGTGCTGCCAGACCACACCACGTTGAGGAAGACGTATCTAAAGAAAGTTTACGATGAAACCTTACTGAAAATCCGAGCTTCCGTGGGAGAACACCGCATCTGGGTTTCGATCGACGAAACCACAGACGTCAAAGGTCGCTTCGTCGTAAACACAGTCGTAGGTTGTCTCTCTGCGCAGCACCAATCAAGAGCTTTCCTTTTGAATACGGAATTCGTGGAGAGGACGAATCATTCTACCGTTGCTCAAGCCCTCGTCAACTCTCTGAACCTGCTCTGGCCTGAGGGGCTCCGCAATGACAAAGTCCTTCTGCTAGTCACTGATGCGGCGGCGTACATGAAGAAAGCGGGCGATGCGTTGAAGGTCCTTTTCCCGAAGATGACCCACGTGACTTGCGTTATCCATGCAATGCACCGTGTCTGTGAGGAGATTCGCGTACTTTTCCCGGCAGTCGATAATTTGATCGCGAATGTCAAGAAAATTTTTTTGAAAGCTCCTTCTCGCGTTCAAACCTTTCGACTTCTAGCGCCGAATATCGGTCTCCCTCCACAACCGGTCCTCACTCGCTGGGGCACGTGGTTGGCAGCAGCTCTGTACTACGCAGAGAACTTCGAGGCTGTCCTGTGTCGATGCTAGAAGGCGCGGAGGCTGCATCCATAAGAAGAAGCCAGGAGATCATGGACGACTCCACGCTGAGCTCCGACCTGGCTTTCATTGGGAGCAATTTCGCACAGTTCCCGAATTTCATGACAAAACTGGAGTGCAGCTCGCTCCCCCTGAGCAGTTCGCTCAATATTCTGGAGGAATTCAGAGTGTGCTTGCATTCGGCACCCGGCCCGAAAGCCGCCTCGGTGAGGGCCAAGATCGAGAGAGTCATCCAGATGAATACTGGCCTCGCCAGTTTGGCTCAAATCGAGAAGGCGCTTCGAGGGGAGCAATTGACGACGGAATTTCTGAGCTGTCTATTGCAGATCTGTCGTCTCATAAATACGCTCCCTTGGTAAGCGTTGATGTTGAGCGATCCTTTTCTCGATATAAGGAGATTCTCTCGGACCGCCGTCATTCGCTGACATTAGAAAATTTGAAGTATCATTTAATACCGATGTGCAATCTCACGAACGATGAATCATAATTTTGTCTCAAATAAACTTCTGAGCGTTCCGCGCCACCACAAATCATAAAACTGCAGGCATTCTTCTACTTCTTCTTCTTCCACGACGCCCACTTCTCAATTTTAGGAGCGTGTTCCTTCTCGATATATTCTTCGATCTCTCCCTTCTCAATCCGTATTTCGCCTAGCTCAAGCACCTTCTCCGCCTATCTCGCCTATCTCAAGCACTTTCTCCGCCTATTTCGCCAGTTTCGCCTATCTTCGTCGAATCGAGGTGCTTATTTTGCCTATTTTTGAATGCCTGACTTGCATATTCTTGGGTGCTTATATCGCCGATTCTATTCCGCCTAGCTTCCAGGCACTATCTATAATATATAGAGCTGAAACTTTCATGCACTGAAAAAAATGAGTATATGCATGCAAATATGCAATAATGAGGGGGTATATATGCTGTTTCGAACAAAGCATATGCATAATAAATTTATCTGACTTCGATGTAATCTATGGGTTACAGTATACAATGACAGTCATCCTGAGGTTCTCGAAAGTTAGACTATGCCGACGATCGCTCAGGATATGTTTTAGCGAAGAGAAACTCCTTTCCACATCCACTGAGAAAAGAGGAGCAAACCTGAAAGATGGCAGCTCGGCTGGACTAAAATCGCCGCTGCCTGTACCATCTGTATTCTCTCCCTTTAAAATCTTCGCTATGGAACTTATTCGCTCGTAGTCTGGGTTGCGATAGCGAACATCCGCACATTTTCGACGAAGTCTCTCACCGATGGGCCCGGGGGTGAGCTCGATCGTCGCGAGGATTTCTTCGAACACGTCAATGCTCTCGGAGAGCATCGTCCCTTTCCTCTCGAGCTTCTCTATTCCACAGGGCAATTTTCCGAAATGATTGGAGATGAAAGCTAGATTTTCTCTCAAGGATGCTCTTGTCACCAACTCCTGCGTCACTGCGATGCTTGCGGCCTCCGTCGGGTCCAGGGCATTAACCACTGAGGCGACCGCTTCGAAATGCTGGGCGTAATATATCGCAGCATTGACCCACGTGCCCCACCTTGTGAGGACGGGCTGTGGTGGCAGGGGTACGTTGGGAACCATCTCTCGGAATTTCGTGACTCTGGAAGCGGATTTAAGGAAAACCTTCTTGCCGTGCGCGACGAGTTTGTCAACATCGGGGAAGACGAGCCGGATTTCTTCG